CTTTAAGTTTTTGAGAAGTGTTGTATACTGCTTTGTAGGTCCGTCTTCTTAAATGACTATCAGAAAGAAGCTCCGTCTTTCTGGATTCGACACCCAGAAAAGTAAGTCTCTGACTTTAGGCAAATGTAAAACACAGAAGTGTTATTGCCTCAGACTTCAAAGAAGAGGGGAGAGATAGTCTTCATTGGCATACATGATTAGGAAGTTACTTCGCATAGTTTTTCTTCTTTTTGAAGCTTTGCCATGTTTTATACTTAACTATGTAAATGGGCTCTGTACAAGTGCCATTTTATATCACTTATCACAAGGTAAAATTGGATGTTGTAGTCATAGGTTCTTACTGTTCTTTGATAATTTTGACAAGTTCCTTAAATGTTCTTTAAACTTTTGCTTTCAGCTCTAAAATTTCTAATAAGGTTGTAAGTAAAGTTACATTTATAGAGCCAGTGTTGATGTAGAAAGGACATAAGTTTTTAAAGCAGAAAAGTTGACTATGAACCCGACCTCTGCCATTTACTGAAAAATAAAAAAGTTTAAAATATATCACCAATACTAAATATATCAGCCTTTTTTTTTTTTTTTCTAAAGTCATTTCTTCTTTTTCCAAACTTTAAGGTATATGGAGGAAATTGTGGAGAGCACTTTGTCCTTATTATCAGTTAAACATGATCAAAGCCATCTTGGCTCTCAAAAGATTTTGGATCCAATGTACTTTTTTGCATTAATTGATACTAAGGCTGTATGGTTCAAAAAGTGGATGGTAAGGAATTTTGTTTTTTGTTATATCAATTTAAAGAGTAGCTAATGTGTGAGCGTTTACTGTGTGCTAAGTGTTCTAATCACTTTTTTACATGTGTTAACTCATTTAATTCCAGTAAAAATCTATGCGGTAGATGGCATTAGTGCCCCATTTCTGAAATGTAGTAACTAAAGCATGGAGAAGTTAACCAGCCCAAGATTATTTACCTAGTAAGTGGCAGAGTCAGAATAAGATTTTAAATTGCAGTTCATTTGAATCTATTTAGGATGAATGACTCACCAAAATTCTTTTTTCTCCAGTTTAAATAAAAACTTAAACAATTTAAATAGATGTGGTAGGACGTAAAGATTCATTGCTCAATTTTTTTGAGCACAGGCGATAGTGTCAAAAACATCCTCTAGTTTACATCTTCTTCAGCTTGCACAATTCCATGTCTTGTGCTTAGTGCTGTCATCTACATAGTAGTATGTAATAAATCTTTGCACAATTTAATTACATTAACCTGAACCCTTTGTTCCTCACATCTGATACTTTGTCTTTATTTCTTTTTTGTCATACTGGGGCTTAAACTCTGGGCCTACACCTTGAGCCATTCCACCAGCCCTTTTTTGTGATGGGTTTTCCCAAGATAGGATCTTGCAAACTATTTGATCAGGCTGGCTTTGAACCATGATCCTCCTGATGTCTGCCTCCTGAGTAGCTAGGATTACAGGTGTGAGCCACTGGTGCCCGGCCTTTTTCTTAATTTTTTCTGCTATCAAATTATGCCTTTATTGAGGAAAATGTACAAAAAGTGTAAAAGTACAATTTTTTTCTAATTATAAAACACAGGGACAAAAACTGTTAAGCTTTTTGTTTATCTAGGTATATTTACCACATACTTTTGTTGTTTAAGTCTTTTGAAACAAAAATGAAATCCTATTCTACTGTTTGAAATTTTTTTCACTTAATATTTTGGTTTCCTGTACTTGATTCTTAAGAGAATGAGGCATACCACAAGAAAACTAACCACTAGAAAATCATTAAAAAGATAAACCCCAGGATGTGTTTTAGTATTAATGAAAATTCATTACATTGTCTTATACTGTGTATATCTAAAATGGGTTGGCAAACTTTTTATGTAAAAGGCCAGATGGCATATATATCTGGCTTTGTTGGCTGTACAGTCTTTGTTGCAGTTTTCCAATCCAACTATTGCAGCTTCAAAGCATTTATAGATAATATGAAATTAATGAACTTGACTGTGTTCTAATAAAACTTTATTTACAGTATCAAGTGGAATGCTAAGTTTGGTCGGAGGGCTGTAGTTTAAGGATGATGGTCTAGTGAAAATGCCATCAGAATTCCTTTTTAGAGTATGGTCAATGTTAAAAATTGTGTAATTATACATCAACATTTCTCTATTATAAAAGCTGATGAAAGGATTAATGGTTTTTGAAAGCATTTCAAACTACACAGGGATTTGATTAACCTTCAATTGATTAAAACATAGTTTAGTGAATTAAAAACTCTGTTCCCCTGAATTCTGATAATTTTTACTGGGCTTTATTCTGTTTAAGTTTTTAAGTAAAATGAAGAACTGTATTTAATGATAGCTAACACAATTTAGGTAAAAATGTGTAGTTTTCCCTGACTCTGTACGATGCCATGAATGCGTTTTACTATATTTGGTTCTAAGGTGGCAAAACGTTTTTGGTCCTGCCAATCATTTGGAAATACTATTTGCAGAAAGTGATTAGGATATGGTTTCATTTCAACTATGGGAAACATCTGTATATGTAGAAAGTGTACATCTTCATTTGAGATTTATAATTTATTTTTCTTTCTCTTCTGTATCTTTCTTGGTTTCTGTCATACACTGGTAGTTAGGTGCTCTGTTTTTGTAGTGGTTTTAGAAAAGCATAGAAATTGGATAACATTGATGGGCAGTTTCCTTTTTACTATCACCAAATGATCTACTTATTTTTAGTTATCAAAAATTAATCATTCTCATTTTCAGATTGCTATGCCCCTAATTCATTGTATATAGAAAAACCTGCATGGCCTTAGTTATAATAACTTAAACCTAAGTTATTTTGTGATTTCTGATGTTATTGGAAAAGATGCAGAAAAAAATACATTTGAATGGTATAGCTTGAATGTTAAATATCATTTCTCCTTGATTTTAGCACGCATATTATAGCAGAGCTGTAGTACTAAGACTTCTTGAAAAGAAATATAAGTCTCTGGTAAGTCTGTGCTTCTGTTTTTATTTTGGGAAATAATATCACAAAAAGATATATGATGTAAAATGTCTTGAATATTCTAAGTTGAGTGGTGGTGATTAATAGTAAATAATGAAGCAATTCCCTTTTATGTGACCTTAAACTACCAACCTGTGAAACAAAAAAGGATATAAGTAGAGACTTAAAGTCAGAATAACAATTAGGAAATACATTAAATACATAGTAAGTTGGGCTGCTATAAATAACAAGCTAGTTTGAGAGAAGCCATGTTTTTAAGAATTAAAAACATGTAATTTGATTTAGATCTGGCATTAAAAAGGGAATTGCTTCTAGAAAGTGGCATGTAAGAGCTAAGTGATAAATGTTTTTGCAACTAAAAGATTGGTTTGAGTTATATCAAATATAGATTAACACTGTAAAATATATTACCTAAATTACCTATACTTATCACTATTAGCATAACATTGTGTTAAGGGTACTGGAAAAATTGAAAATAAATGGCAAAACTAATAAATTAATAATGGACAAACATGAAAATGTGAAATTTATTAAATGCTTAAGAAGTTGTAATGTAATTTTGGCCAATAAATATGGCTTATGTGTTTAGGCAGAACCTTGAGTTTAAATGTTAGGTGGAAGAAAGATTCTGGAATTGTGACTGTTTGGTTGAGTGCAGTACAGCATAAAATGAAAAGAAAACAATAATTGTTTTGTGTTGGAGAATTAAGAGAACTGGACTAGAGGCATGGCTTAAGTAGTAGAGTGCTTGCTTTGCAAGTGTGAAGCCCTGACTTCAAACTCCAGTCCCACCAATAAGTAAATAAATAAAAAATAAAAAGCATCAAAGAATTGAAACAGCCTAAGAAGAGGGAATATTGAAAATTAGGATGGGAATTTATTTATAGAGGCAAAAGATAATAGAAGAGTTTTACAAAAATTAAATTGAAATAAAGTCTTTTCACACCTCATTTTATCTTCTATTCCCATTGAAATGAAAATTGCTACCAAATAAACACAGAATGGATAAAGAGAAAAAAACAAAAAGAAGATGAGTTTTTCCTCATGGTTTATGTGCTATCACAGTGATATAGGTGGAAGAATTTAAAATGTTTCTTAGATTAACCCTTAACTCTTCAAATAAGAAACAGATTTTATCTATATCATTAACCAGTTTTTTTTTCCTGGTAGAATTACTTCATTAAAAATAACTTATTTTATCAGCATGGTCAAATATTTTATGTATGTAATGGATCAAATTTGCTAGAAATTTCATCTTAAGACCAGCTCTTATGTTGATAAAATAGCAAAAGGTTTCCTTCTAGTGTTTTTTGTAGCCTTGACTAACTTAACAGAAACTTGGAAATATACACTGAAAATTTGTAGAATTAATAAGTTACTATTTTATCAGATAGCGACAGCAGTTCAGCAGTGTGTTCAGTACTTGGAATTGTGTGAGGCCATGAAAGCTGATGATATTTTGGGACATTCAAAACATTGTGGCAAGTATTTTCTCTTATGTATATTAAAATGGTTAATTTTATTAATAAAAATAGCTTAGTAATGACTTACTTGTTAGTAGATGTTAGTTGCATGGTAAATTAGAGGACTTTTGCCAATGATGTAAAATATATTTTACAGATTTTAGGCTTACACTGTAATCATGACTTTCTATAAGATATCTACCTTGAAATTAATGTATCATCATGCTGATTCTTACTATATGCAGTTCTTAATTTATACTGAGTTATAATGCTCTAATTTATTTGCAATAGTAATATAGTCCTTTCTTTTTCCTCTGCTTGCATATCACTCCTAAAAACAGGCACTTATCACTTTAGTAGGAGGAAAAGTTCTTTAAAAGACAGTTTTTATTATTGGATACCCCATCCCACCTGTGATTCCTTTCTCCATAACCTCAGTCTGAGCTAAAATGTCCTGGATGCTTTTAGTCTGGCCCTCATTTCTCTTCTTTAGTTATAGAGTAAAGTAAAGTAAAGCTTCTCTTAAATTCTTGCATACCACTGCCTACACTGCTTTGTTACTTCTATTCTTATTGTTTTTGTCCATAATTACCTATCCCAGTAGATACCATTTTCTTTTCCTTTTCCTTTTTGGGAACAGGGTCTTGCTATATAGCTGTGATTGGCCTCAAACTTGAGATCATCCTGCTTCCCATGTGTTGGGATTACAGGCATTTGTTCCCACACCCAGCTAGATATCTTACTTGTCATGAAAGAATAAACTTTATTTTAAATGTTTAACAGGACTTTTCTGCCTATTATTAGTTTCTCTTGTCCTTTTGCTCACATTTCATGTCTTAAGATGTGACTAATATATTTTGTAAGTCTGTTATTTTTATATTTTACTCAAAGCAAGAAAAATGTTCAAAGACCAATAATTAATGGATTTTAAAAATTAGTGCTTTGTAGTGGAGGAGAAAGTATAGAAGTCAGAATTTATTCTTCAAAAGGAAGAAAAGGATACATAAGTTTAGTGCACAGATATGTAGATTATTCTTATATCTTGATATTAGACAGTTATATCCAGCACTTTTGAAACCCTCTTCCATTTTTGTAGCCCTGCATAGTTTTTCTTTCTTCTGTATCTAGTGGAGACCTCAAGTGTGTTTTGTTGCAATCTTTGCCATTTGTTTCAAAATTTTGCTCAATCCTTCTTGCATTTCTCCAACTTTAGATCAATTCAATTCTCCCTGTTTTCCAGTACATAGGAAATTGAGCAGAGAGAATTTGTGACATAGATTGAAGGTGCAAATACATCTCAGTTTCTTCCTTTGTTCTGTTCGAAATCCTGTTGGATTTCTTTCCCTGGATGTTGTATAATAGATATTATAATAATCCTTTGCCAGTTTCATCAAGGAGCAGCAGTGTTTCTTCTCACCCCTGTCTCAAGAAGAGTACTTTCTAAGAAAATGAAGTTTCATGTATGAGTTCCCTGAAGGTCCTGTTTCCGTGTACACAAATGCATATTTCTGTGCTTATATCAACATTCCCTTCCTCTAGCCTACATTGTGTTTCAAATTGTTCTCTGTATGTGTTCTGCTTATTCTGTTACCTTCCACTATTTTTTTCTTTTAATAGAGCCAGGACATTGCTTTACTTGTCTTTCTATTGGCACTTTCCCCTGCATCCTCCAACCTGCTCATGCATCTTCCATCTTTCTATTAAAAAATAGAGCAAGTTTTTTTGCTCTGTATGTGCCATACCTCTTCAGAGAAGAGCTCTTTTCAATATTCTATATTCTCTCAGGTTTCACTTTCCTCCTATTCATTTTTTAATCACAGAAATCAGGTTTCTATTTCTACTGCTATATAACCTTCTCATCGTAGTTCCCTCTCTTTTCCTCATTTTACAGCATTTGCCTCTGTTGTTTTACCTCCTCACAGTACCATTCTTTCATGGATTGCCTAATCCTCATCTATTAAGTTTTTCTTTGTTACTTGAGAGGCTCTTTTCTCTTCTTTACAAGCTTGTATTCACACAGATTTTGCCCTTTGCTTGTTTCTCATCTTAGTCTGCCTGTTCTCTTGGGATAGTCCATTCACTTTCTATTTACATGTAAATAGTAACTGAGACATTCTAAACCTGCATCATTTTCCTGAATTTCAGACCTGCACACTTGTCTATTAATCAGTGTAGCTATCTGGATGCTACATGGGCACTTCAAAAACTGCAATACCAGGCCCTAAATCATTGTTTTTGTTTTTCTTTTTAGACCTCTCCTTTTCTTCAATACAATTAGAAGAAGAAATTTATCATGTACACAGATGATTTTCTTATCTTCTTTCATTCTTTCACTATCCATGTGTAAATCTGGCTAAGGCATATTGACTTCATTTTCTTAAATATTTATTTTTATCTGTCTCCCCTTCATTATTTTTGCTAATGTTTTTATTCATCATTTTTATTCGAGCTTCTTATTTCAGACTTTGATTTTCTTTCATCACCTTTCTATACTGCCATCAGAGCCAATGTTCCACAGTCCATATTTGAGTGTAACATTCCTTCTAAAAACTCCTTTATAACTTCCCAGTGGCCTCTATAATAAAGTCCAGATTCCTTCTGTGGTTAAGTCCTCTGTGATCTGTTCCTTCTAGTCTCTTGTCTCTCCCACTTGTCCTCGTAGGGCCCTGATCATATCAGACTATTTGCTATACCCTGAATTGGAAGCCGAATTTCATCCTTCTGGTTTTTTTTTTGTTTGTTTGTTTTTAAATCAATGGGTAGTTCAGGATGTTGTATAAAATAGGAACCTTGAATGTAGGAGTGAATGGAGAATATATATCAGAAGATGCCTGTATTTTGGAGATTATAATTTTATTTGCATGCATGTTTGTAAATATGATCATTTTTAGTACAAGTCAAATATCCCTTATCTTAGATGCTTGGTACCAGAAGTTTTTCAGATTTCAATTCTTTGAATTTTAGAATATTTGCATAGACTTTACCTGTATTAGCTTTTAATTGGTAAAATTAAATAGTAAAATTTTCTATTGACTTCTCCCTCCCTTACCTTACTTTTGAAGCTCTTGTTTGATGATAGATACTCTGGTATTCTTATAATGTTTTAGAATGAACACTGGATGCATGTTATAATTTTCTAAGTTTTGCCAATTTTATAATGGTTGCTTTTGAACCTGGGTTCAGCTGAAGCGCCAGCCTGCTCCACCCAGAGAAGCACACTTTGTGAGAACCAATGGAAAGGAGCCTGAGCTTCTGGAACCTATTCCCTATGAATTCATGACATGAAGGATGTCAAAAAATAAAAGGCTTTGGACTGTGTAAATTTCAAAAAAAAAAAAAAAAATGGTTGCTTTTCATCAGATTTAGTGTAAAGGATCTTAGTAAACAGTAAGGAAAGTAAATTTTTAAAAATTTGTACAACATTGTCTTCATTATAGACTACAACCTTGTTTGATGTTCAGGAAGGAAATGAAGAGAGGTACTGTATAATATGGTAACATTAAAATGAATGTTATTGTTTGCTTCTCTTTTAAGGGAATGTACAGAAAACTTTCTACTACTCAGGACAAGAATTACAGTATATTTATTTTATTCACTCACTGTGCCTTTTAGGAAGATTATTGATATATACACAAGGCAGAAAATTATTTCCTATAAAGATGAAGAATAGAAAGAGTAAGTACAATTGGGAGAAATGACTATGTTAAGATATGGTAAGATTTATATGTTATAGACTCAAACTTGGAAATTTGACATGGTGTCTTCTAGGGCACTTAGCTACAACCTTTTAGTCTTATATACCTTAAAGTATTTTTTTCTTTTAGTTTTCAGTATGTACTTATTCCTGCATATATTATTATTTCTATTCCCCCTGACTTTTAATGCTTTCTCATTTCTCTTTGCCTTTCAAACTCCTAGACCTATGTGGTGATCCAGTTCTGAATATAAATTAGAAGATGTCATAAGTTATGGATATCTTATAAATGATCTGTGGTCATTTGGACAAATCACTCACTCTTTGTGTTTCAGGTTTTTAATCTGTAAAAATGGAACAATGATACCAGCGATGCTGGACTCACAGAATTTTCTTAGTTTTGAGAATGTAACATTTGATCTATTCCTATATTAATTTTACCCTATGATTTAATTTTTTCCAGCCAAATGTCAGCACGTTGATGTTAGTTATTATCTTTAATTCCCTTAAAACATGAACTATATTAAGAACGCTGTATAGAGTAGGGCTCAGCAAACTTTTTCTGTAAATGCCAGATGGTAAATATTTTGGGCTTGGTGGACTGTTTACCACTTTTATTGTACATTCTGTATGTGTGCGTGTGTGTATGTACGTGCACGTAAAAACGGTTAACCTAGCAGGCCGGAGGCTGTGACTGCTATCCCTAGAATGGCTTGCTTGCAAGGTTGGCTCTTGACTGGCATCTTGGAACTTGGAAACCTATCACTCCCAGCACTGATAAGCATACCTAAACTATTTGTACACTGATCACTGTGCTTGAACTGTTTGTACAAGCAATGTGATTTATGCTAAACACCTACTTTCTCTTTTGCAGTTTAGAATTTTAATATGTGCCAGATGGAGGATGCTTTTGTCCTCAGCCCCTCAAAAAGGCCATGGGTACCAAGTCTCTAATGAGGTTTTCTAGTAGGCAGCATGTCCCATTGTGTGGTGACAAATCATTGTTGGAAGAACTAAAAGTATTTTGTGGGACACTTCTGGGACAAGGCCCTAAAAGTTTGTGTCTGGTTTTCTCTAGATTTCACCCTTTGTGCCTTTTCCCTTTGATTTTTGCTTTACATTCTTTTGTAAAATAATGCATAGCTTGCATATGAATATGTCTTGAATACTGGGAGTCTTTCTATTAAATCACTGACAACGAACATGGTTTTGAGGACCCCTGATACTTTCTTAGCTTGTGAGCCTATTATAAAATCGGATCACAAGTGTACAACTTGCTGACCTTGTGATAAAGAATATTCAGTTTGAGTACTGCTTTGTCTACTTGTTTTTTTTAAGTCATTTTTGCATTTTACATGTGTATACATTATTTGCATCACCTCTCCCCTCCTCCTTCTTCTAACCCATACCACCTCCAGGCAGAACCTGTTTTGCTGTATTGTTCTCCGATTTTGTAGAAGAAAAAAACATTAAAGATAATAAGAAAAACATGGCGTTTTTGCTAGTTTGAGATAAAGATAGCTATATAGGGAGATTCCTTGTGTTATTTCCATGTACATATGTATTACAAATTGATTCATTTCTACCAGACCTCTTCGCTGCTCCCTAGTCTCGTCCCCATAGTGGCCTTAGCCAGTTTAAGATTACTATATTCATTCTTATACAGTGAGCACATCAACCACATTCAAGATTTAGGTCTCCTTACGTTCCCCTGTCCCTCCTGTGTGCAGTCTCACCTTAGCGTGTCCGGGGTCCAATAATATTACTGCATTTGTTTTAGGTGTATAATCCACATCAGGGAGAACTTGCAGTTTTTGCCCTTCTGAGCCCGACTAACTTTGTTTAAGATGATGTTTTCCAGTTCCATTCATTCACCTGCAAATGACAAAATTTCATTCTTGTGGCTGAATAAAATTCCATTGTGTATAAATACCACATTTTCTTAATCCATTTGTCGGTATTGGAGCATCTTTGCATCTTGGTTGTTTCCATAGCTTGGCTATTGTGAATAGTGCTGTAATAAACATGGGTGTGCAGGTGCCTTTGTAGTAACCTGACTCACATTCCTTTGTGTATATCTGTAGCAGTGGTATCGCTGGATCATGTGGCAGATCTATGTTTAGTTTTTTGAGGAGCCTCCATATTGTTTTGGTAGTGGTTGTACTAACGTATATCACCAGCAGTGTGTGAGGGTTCTTTTTTCCTGCATCCCCACAACATGTTATTGTTGTGTTCTTGATGATGGCTATTGCAACAGGACTGAGGTGGAATTTTAATGTGGTTTCGATTTGCATTTCCTTTATGGCCAGGGATGGTGGGCATTTTTTCATGTGTTTTTTAATCATTTGTACTTCTTCCTTTGAAAAAGTTCTGTTTAGTTCACTTGCCCATTTCTTTATTGGGTCATTGATTTTTGGGGAGTTTAGTTTTTTGAGCTCCCTATATATTCTGGCTATCAGTCTGATAAGTAGCTTGCAAAGATTTTCTCCCATTCTGTGGGTGGTCCTTTCAATTTAAAAAACCATTTCTTTTGTTGTGGAGAAACTTTTTAATTTGATGTAGTCCCATTTGCTAATCCTTTTTCTTGAAGTCCTTGCCTATGCCTATTGCTTCCAGTGTATTCCCTGCTCTTTGTATCAGCTTCAAGATTTCAGGTCTGATATTAACGTTCTTAATCCAATTTGAGTTGATTCTAGTACAGGGTGACAGGCATCGATCTAGTTTCACTTTTCTGCTGGAAGATACCTAGTTTTCCCAGCAACATTTGTTGAAGAGGCTGTCTTTTCTCCTTCGTATGTTTTTGGTACCTTTGTCGAAAATTAGGTGAGAGTAGTTGCATGAATTCATATCCGGTCCTCTATTCTGTTTCACTGGTCTTCATGTCTGTTTGTGTGCCAGTGCCATGCTGTTTTATTGCTATGACTCTGTAGTATAGTTTGAAGTTGGGTATTGTGATAATTCTACTGTTGCTCTTTTTGCTCAGTATTTCCTTAGTTATTTGTGGTCTTTTGTGTTTCCAAATGAACTTTAGGATAGATTTTTCAATCTCTGTGATGAATGTCATTGGAATTTTGATGGGAATTGCGTTGAATACATAGATTGCTTTTGGTAGTATAGCCATTATTACTCTGTTGATTCTGCCAATCCATGAACATGGAAGATCCTTCTACCTTCTGTAGTCTTCTTCCATCTCTTTCTTCAGTGGTTTGTAGTTCTCCTTGTAGAGGTCATTACATCCTTTGTTAAGTTTATTCTTAGGTATTGATTTTTTTTTTTTTGAGGCTATTGTAAATGGAATTGTTTTGCTATGCTCTTTCTCATTCTGCTCATTGTTGGTATATAGAAAGGCTACTGATTTTTGTAAATTGATTTTGTATCCTGCTATTTTGCTGAAGCTGTTTATAGTGTCTAGGAGTTTTTGGGATCTTTAAGGTATTAGATATGTCATCTGCAAATAGGGATAGTTTGACTACTTCTTTACATATTCTTTCTTCTTGCCTTATTGCCTGGCTAGGAATTCCAGGACTATGTTGAATAGGAGTGGGGAGAGTGGGCATCCTTGTCTCGTCCTGACTTTAGGGGAGATGGTTTTGGTTTTTCCCCATTATGTATGATGTTTACTATAGGTTTGTCATATGTAGCCTTTATAATGTTGAGGTACAGTCCTTCTATTCCTAGTTTCCTGAGAGTTTATATCATGAAATGGTGTTGAATCCTATCAAAGGTTTTTTCTGCGTCTATCGAGATGATTAAGAGGTTTTTGTCTTTGCTTGTGTTAATGTGCTGTATTACATTGAATGATTTGCGTGTGTTGAACCATTCCTGCACCCCTGGGATGAAGCCAACTTGGTTATGGTATATGATCTTTTGTATATGTTGTTGGATTCGGTTTGCCATTATTTTATTGAGGATTTGCATAAATGTTTATTAAGGAGATTGGCCTGTAGCTCTCCTTTTTGAATGTATCCTTGTCTGGTTTTGGCATGAGAGTAATACTGGCTTTATAAAATGAGTTTGGCAGTGTTCCTTCTCTTTCTATTTCATGGAAAGGCTTAAGGAGAGTTGGTGTTAGTTCTTTAAAGGTCCGATAGAAGTCAGCAGAGAATCCATCAGGTCCTGGACTTTTCTTTTTTGGGAGACTCTTTATTACTGCTTCAATTTCATTTTGTGTTTTAGATCTGTTTAGGTGACTAATATCTTCTTGGTTCAGTTTTGGATAGTCATATATATCTAGAAATTTGTCCATTTCTTCTAGATTTTTCAATTATTTGAGTATAGGTTCTCACAGTTTCTTGATGATTCCCTGGATTTCCTTGGTGTTTGTTGTTGTCGTCCCCTTTTTGTTTCTGATTTTACTAATTTGAGTGTTTTCCCTCCTCATTTTAGTCAGATTTGCCAGGGGCCTGTTGCTCTTGTTTATTTTTCAAAGAACCAGCTTTGTCTACTTATTTTATTTGCCTAAGTCTTTGTGTGCTCCATGAGAAAAGACGCTGCCTTATATGCTTGTTTTGTAATTCTCATGACTGTCCCACATAGACTTATGCTCATAGGCAGTAGTGGGTGCTTAATAGAGTCTTTCAATGAAAGGACAGCTATTTTATGTGGTATTGCTAAATTTACAGAAATAGAAAGATCATCTTATAACTAAGTTTGATAGTTTTATTCTTGTATCATAGCATAGGCTGATATTCACATTTAAATACTACATGACATTTCTCTAGACTCTTTTGATGTAAGCTTATGTAGCAAGGATTCATAAACTATAAGCCTATAGGCTGAATGTGGTTTGCCATCTGGTTTCTATACTTGTGAGCCAAGAATGGTTTTTATGTTTTAAAATTGTTGATTTTTTTTAACAAGACTATTTTGTGACACAGAAAATATATAAAAATTAACTTTCAGTACAAAGAAAGTTTTATTCAGCCATACTCATTTATTTAGTAGTAAGTGACTAAGTGTTACAATGGCATACATGGCATAAAATTTATGACAGAGATGGTTTGCTTACAAAGCCTGAAATATTTACTGCATAGTTCTTCACAGGAAAAGTTTGCTGACCTCATTTCTACAGTACTGTATCAATAAATTAGCTGGCTCAACATGCTAAGCTGAATGTTACTACTCATAATTGAATCAACTCAAACAGCTATGATCAGATTCATACATGTTTCCATTATAGGTTTCTAGTAAACAGTTGGCTAAAATAGATGGCAAGACAATACCTTTATATGGTACCTATTACATTGTTTGCCTTGCTATATTTTTTAAGGTACTCTGTCTAATTTGTTCTGGAGTCCTTCTATTATTGCTATTTTCTGATTGGCTTTTCTTAGAAAACTATAATGTAATCTTTACAGGTGTTTGGAACACAGTTTAATTTTTCTAGATTGTAAGCATATGCTAGGCACTAATTTTTCCTTTTTTCCTTGTAAAGATTCAGTATCCCTCACAGATTTGCTGGTTCTGTTTATACAACTTATCTGTTATTCACCATGTTGTCCAAAGATGATATCAGCTACACACTCAGGTAATTCTGCTTCTATTTTAAATAAAGAGAGAAGCCATCTAAAATGTTTAAATTTTATTGTGTAGATGCTTGTAGTGACCTACCTAGTTTGGTAAATAGGTTTCATGAAGATACAGATTATTTGTAGGAAATTACATTGGCCCTAAAGTGAGCCATGAAATTTAGTTTTGTTCATCGATGTTTTTAGATTTACTAACTTTTTTATTTAGAATCAATTTTGCTGAGAATTTTAATGTTATTCTTAAGATCAAGATGTTCTCAAGAAATGATATGAAGAGAAGTTTGATTGATAGATACTAATGTGTTCTCTTTTTCATATTTTCTTTTCTTCATATTCTCTAGGATATTTTGATCAATGAGCTTGTTTTGGTTCACATCCAAAACTTTAGTCTTTTTCAATGTCTTCTTTTATTGAAGAGTAGAGAAAAAATAAACCTTCGTGTTTTTCTGAATAGTCCCTTTTAGTCTTGTACATGTTGACTGGCTTATAAAAATGTTCTAAAATATTAACATTTAAGAGATAACTTACGCTTTTTGTTTTGAATATCACTAAGAGTTTCCAAGGTGAAACACGTAATATGAAAACACATTAGTGTTCTAAAATTTGGAAATGCTGGCACAAATTCTGAGAGGAACTCAAGTGAATCAAAGAAAAAATTGGTTTTGGCTACATATCAGTGCTGTAATGTATCTATCAACTATAGGGTTTGTCCATAAACTTTTAATAGCATGTTGATCTTAACAATGGTTCTAGACTCTTTTCTGTCTTTATGACGTTTACATGTGTGATGTACTGTCTTAAGACCTCCCTCACTTGTTTCCACAACATCTTTAATAATAAAAAGTATCCTTTTTACTTGTTAATACTTTAGAATCTAGTTGACTGGTCTTATTTACTTTTGACTGCAGTGCCCAGTATATTGTATATAGTAGGCACTCAATTGTAAATGGGTAAATGAATGAATAGCTACATACACATTGCTAATCTCTCACATACAAACAGGGTTTCTCATCTGGAGATGGTTGAAAGTTTACTGAATCCTTTTCCATTTTTTTTTTTTTTTGTTAGGTATTGACTTGAAATCAGCATGTACATGGAGTATGGATTATTGTAACATAAATTAAGAACTTTCTTAGTTTTTTTTTCTTTGATATTCTTAACTACTTGTGAGGATATTAATTTATGAAATTAAAGTTACATTTATTTCAGTGACTATTGTAATCATATTACATTTGCATGTTTCTGTGTTTTCCCATTCATATTTTATTTTTCTTTATTTTATTATTTCATTATTCATATGTGCATACAAGGCTTGGGTCATTCCTCCCCCCTGCCCCCACCCCCTCCCTTACCACCCACTCCGCCCCCTCTCTCTCCCCCCAACCCCCTCAATACCCAGCAGAAACTATTTTGCCCTTATTTCTAATTTTGTTGTACAGAGAGTATAAGCAATAATAGGAAGGAAAGGGTTTTTGCTGGTTGAGATAAGGATAGCTATACAGGGAGTTGACTCACATTAATTTCCTGTGCGTGTGTGTTACCTTCTAGGTTAATTCTTTTTGATCTCACCTTTTCTCTAGTTCCTGGTCCCCTTTTCCTATTGGCCTCAGTTGCTTTTAAGGTATCTGCTTTAGTTTCTCTGCGTTAAGGGCAACAAATGCTAACTAATTTTTTAGGTGTCTTACCTATCCTCACCCCTCCCTTGTGTGCTCTCGCTTTTATCATGTGCTCAAAGTCCAATCCCATTGTTGTGTTTGCCCTTGATCTAATGTCCACATATGAGGGAGAACATACGATTTTTGGTCTTTTGGGCCTGGCTAACCTCACTCAGAATGATATTCTCCAATTCCATCCATTTACCAGCGATAGATACCATTTCGTTCTTCTTCATGGCTGCATAAAATTCCATTGTGTATAGATACCACATTTTCTTAATCCATTCGTCAGTGGTGGGGCATCTTGACTGTTTCCATAACTTGGCTATTGTGAATAGTGCCGCAAAAAACATGGGTGTGCAGGTGCCTCTGGAGTAACCTGTGTCACAGTCTTTTGGGTATATCCCCAAGAGTGGTATTGCTGGATCAAATGGTAGATCAATATTAGCTTTTAAGTAACCTCCAAATTTTTTTCCAGAGTGGTTGTACTAGTTTACATTCCCACCAACAGTGTAAGAGGGTTCCTTTTTCTCCCTCATCCTCGCCAACACCTGTTGTTGGTGGTGTTGCTAATGATGGCTATTCTAACAGGGGTGAGGTGGAATCTTAGTGTGGTTTTAATTTGCATTTCCTTTATTGCTAGAGATGGTGAGCATTTTTTCATGGTTTTTTGGCCATTTGAATTTCTTCTTTTGAGAAAGTTCTGTTTAGTTCACTTGCCCATTTCTTTATTGGTTCATTAGTTTTGGGAGAATTTAGTTTTTTAAGTTCCCTATATATTCTGGTTATCAGTCCTTTGTCTGATGTGTAGCTGGCAAATATTTTCTCCCACTCTGTGGGTGTTCTCTTCAGTTTAGAGACCATTTCTTTTGATGAACAGAAGCTTTTTAGCTTTATGAGGTCCCATTTATCTATGCTATCTCTTAGTTGCTGTGCTGCTGGGGTTTCGTTGAGAAAGTTCTTACCTATACCTAGTAACTCCAGAGTATTTCCTACTCTTTCCTGTATCAACTTTAGAGTTTGTGGTTTGATATTAAGATCCTTGATCCATTTTGAGTTAATATTGGTATAGGGTGATATACATGGATCTAGTTTCAGTTTTTTGAGGATTGCTAACCAGTTTTCCCAGCAGTTTTTGTTGAAGAGGCTGCTATTTCTCCATTGTATATTTTTAGCTCCTTTGTCAAAGACAAGTTGGTTATAGTTGTGTGGCTTCATATCTCATGGCTATAAGCTTTCCTCTCAGGACTGCTTTTGCTGTGTCCCATAGGTTCTGGTAGGTTGTGTTTTCATTTTCATTAACTTCGAGGAACTTTTTAATTTCCTCTTTTATTTCATCAATGATCCATTGTTCATTAAGTAGTGAGTTATTTAGTTTCTAGCTGTTTGCATGTTTTTTGTCTTTCCTTTTGTTGTTGAGTTCTACTTTTACTGCATTGTGATCATATAGTATGCACGGTATAATTTCTATTTCCTTATATTTGCTGAGGCTTGCTTTGTGCCCTAGGATATAATCTATTTTGGAGAAGATTCCATGGGCTGCTGAGAAGAATGTATATTGTGTAGAAGTTGGATGAAATGTTCTGTAGACATCAAGTAGGTCCATTTGATCTATTGTATATTTTAGATCTTGGACATCTTTATTGATTTTTTGTTTGGATGACCTATCTATTGATGATAATGGGGTGTTAAAGTCTCCCACAACCACTGTGTTGGCGTTAATATATGCTTTCAGGTCTTTCAGGGTATGTTTGATGAAATTGGGTACGTTGACATTGGGTGCATACAGGTTGATGATTATTATTTCCTTTTGGTCTATTTCCCCTTTTTTTAGTATGGAATATCCTTCTTTATCTCGTTTGATCAATGTAGGTTTGAAGTCTACTTTGTCAGAGATAAGTATTGCTACTCCTGCCTGTTTTCAGGGGCTATTGGCTTGGTAAATCTTCTTCCAGCCTTTCATCCTAAGCCTATGCTTATTTCTGTCAGTGAGATAGGTCTCCTGTAAGCAACAAACTGTTGGATCTTGCCTTTTAATCCATTTTTTCAAGCGGTGCCTTTTGATGGGTGAATTAAGTCCGTTAACATTAAGTGTTAGTACTGATAGGTATGTGGTGATTCCTGTCATTTAGTTGTCTTAGTTGTTTGAAGGTTTGATTGTGTGTACCTAAATAGATGTTACTCTCTACTTTCTTGCTTTTTCTTTTCCTGTAGGTTGGTACTGCCTGCCCTTTCATGGTTATGTTGGCTTTCACTTTCTGTGTGCAGAATCCCTTGAAGAATCTTTTGTAGTGGTAGCTTTGTGGTCATATATTGTTTTAGTTTCTGCTTTTCATGGAAGACTTTTATTGCTCCATCTATTTTGAATGATAGTTTTGCTGGGTAGAGTATCCTAGGGTTGAAGTTATTTTCATTCAGTGCCTGGAAGACCTCACCCTAAGCTCTTCTTGCTTTTATTGTTTCTGTTGAGAAGTCTGCTGTGATTTTGATTTGTTTACCTTTGTATGTTACTTGTTTTTTCTCTCTTACAGTCTTCAATATTCTTTCTGTAGTCTCTGTACTTGTTGTTTTAATGATAATATGCTGTGGGGTAGTTCTTTTTTGGTCATGTCTATTTGGTGTTCTGGAGGCCTCTTGCACCTGTATGGGCATAGATTTCTCTATATTGGGGAAATTTTCTGTAATTATTTTGTTGAATATATTATGCATTCCCTTTGCTTGCACCTCTTCTCCTTCTTCAATGCCCATGATTCTCAGGTTTGGTCTTTTGATGGAGTCGGTGAGTTCTTGCATTTTCTTTTCACAGGTCTTGAGTTGTTTAACTAATAGTTCTTCAGTTTTTCCTTTAGTTACCATTTCATCTTAGAATTCTGAGATTCTGTCTTCTGTTTGTTTATTCTGCTGGATTGGCCTTCCATTTTGTTTTGCAATTCTGTTTTGTTCTTTTTTCTGAGGTTTTCCATATCCTGAGTAATTTCCTCTTTAATATTGTCTATTTTCTTCCTGAGTTCATTTTTCTCTATATTTATTGTGTTCTTTGTTTCACTTTGGTGTTTATACAGTGCTTGTATAGTTTGTTTGTTCTTGTGCTTTCTCAAATTCTCTATTTTTGTTGTCTTGGAATTTCTTGAGTGTCTCCTGTACATTTTGGTTGACCCTATCCAGTATGATCTCTATAAAATTCTCATTGAGTACCTGTAGTATGTTTTCTTTTAAATTATTCTTGTGAGCTTCATTGGGTCCTTTGGCATAGTTTATCTTCATTTTGTTGGAGGCTGGATCTGAGTTTCTGTTCTCTTCATTCCCCTCTGGTTCCTGTACTAATTTTTTGCTGTGGGAAAACTGGTTTCCCTGTTTTTTTCTGTCTTCCTCTCATTGTCTTTGGTGTTGTTACTGTCCCTGTGCTGTGTGCAATTAAGTATTTTCTAGCTTGTAATAATAACAATAGTAATAATTAGAATGGAAGGGTGAGTGGAGATGGAAAGGAAGAAGTTAAAGAAAAGGGAAAAACAAATAGACAAGAAGTAGAAAACAGAACAAGCAATCAGACAAGAAAGTTTCAAAGGTATAAACAGGGAGCATTAGTGTACTAATCAACAGTAAGCTGAACAGGCATTAGAGAGACAGAGAGAGGATTAAAAAAAAAGGTATGAATAAAAATAAAAATAAGTAAATGAAAGAAATATCTATATATAAAAATAAAATAAAATAAAATGAAAAATAGAAAATTGAAAAAAAAAAAACGAAAAAGCAAAAAACTCCCAAGTTCAAATGCAATGAAGTTTCAGTGTTAATAATTTGGGTGTCCGTCTCAGTCTCCAATCCTGGAGATGGTGCCTCCGATGTTGTTCTGTAGTTGTCTCATCAAAGGGGACTCATAAAGTAGAACAGAACTACACACACACACACACACACACACACACACACACACACACGCACAAACCCCACCGAGTTTCCCAAGTGCAAATGCAATATAGTTTCAGTAAGTTTTTCAGCATGCAGGTATAATTCGGTTGTTCTCTCATCAATGGTAGGTAGAAAAAGAGAAAAAAGAAAAAAAAAGAGTCTGGAGACAGTTCTGAGAATGGCATCTGTGGCTGTGGCTTGCCTGCCCGCTGGTGTCAGCCTGCTGTTGCTGGAGGCGTTATTTATGCAGATCTCTGGGGTGAGCTTAGCACTCACCTGGCCCTGCAGGCTTTGTTTACTCAGAGTTCTCCTGTGCATGAGCCTCTGCTACAAGCTTTCCCCTTTCCAAGCACACTGGGGAAGGTGACACTGCACTGGTTTTCTCAGGCCTGCATGTTTATTTACAGTTCATGTGGGAAGTGGGTCTTCCCCCCTCTCCTGTGCAATTTTCCTCCCACCGCCACTTTTACAAGCTTTCCTGCTCCTGATTACTGGGTGCTGCTGGTTCTCTTGCCAGCTACCATGTTTGTTTACAGCTCACGTGGGAAGTGGGTCTTCCCTCCTCTCCTGTGGAGTTTTCCTCCCTCCGCCACTCTCACAAGCTTTCCTGCTCCTTGGTTGCTCGGTGCGCGTCCCCGCTTCCGCTGGAGCCTCTTCTGCCTGCCCTGCTTGTTTATTTACTGTTCCGGGAAGGATTCCTTTCCCCCAATCTTCTGCGCTCAGTGCGCCCCACCCTCTTTCCCGCATGTCTTTATTGTTCTTACTGCTTATTACTCACTTTCTCTTTTTTCCCCGGGTGGAGGTCGGTCTGTCCAGGGGGCTATGCTTCTCTGGCCCAGGGTTGTCTGTGGGAGTACCGCAGTACTGCAAAGCTCACCTTTTCCGCATCTTCCCAAGCAGTCTGGGCACAGGCATCTGGCGGCCCGGGGGCCCTCCTGGTTTCTCCGTTTAACGTGAAGTTGAGATTTCTGCGTCGGCTGGAGGTGTTGAGGGGTCAAAGTTTTGCCTCTTCTCGGTGATTTTGCCTGCAAAGTGTGTCTCCAGCGTCTCTCCAAGATTTCACTATAGGAGGCTCTCTTTCTGCTTCCTCCCTCCAGCCGCCATCTTGGAATCCTTCCCCATTCATATTTTAAAAGAAAATGTAAAAAATAACCCTTGCTTTCATAGTTTTTTTTGTTGTTGTTGTTAACAGAAAGACACTAGTCTCCAAAAAAGTGTCTATTTTTCTTTGCTTTCTTTTTTGCTTATGGTCTCATTTTAATGGCTCTCATTTAATTTTCTACTACACTTAATACCTGAATACATTACTTAAGAAAAAAGAATAAAAGTAAATAGAAGTAAAAGTGTTTTCTAGGAGGAAAACAGTTGTGAGTTTTCTTCAAACCACATCTTCAATATTGAGCAGAGATTGAATGTCAAACTACGAAAGATCTCATACTCTTTTTATTTTGACATTGATATTTTCTCATTTCCTTTTTTTTAAGTTTAACTTGATGGTACATTAGACTAATTGAGGTGTTAATATTCATAATAAAATTTGGTAGTGTATTATTCTTCAGGCATTGATTTGTGTGACTGAATTATTGAATTTTCTTTTATATTGAACTTTTTTAACAATAGTTAAAATTAGCACTAAGTATTTAGTGTTTAAAGTTTTCAATTTTCCCAATACTTTCTGCTCACCAGAAAATTATTCTCCTGCAAGTATGGTAACTGAAGTTCTACAGATACTCTGTGATCAAACAGACTGTGCAGTCGAATGCTTATATAACAGCACTGTGATAGATACACTTCTTCATCCTGTTCATCACTTGATGAAAGGAACCAAGGTTGGTATTATTTCCTAAAGAGAGTCTTTTCCTTTGGCTTTTGTGAAAATTTGGTGAAACTTTACTTTTGATATAATTGAACTATTTTATTGCACTGTTTTTCAACCATGAATGTAATTTTTATCAATATAGGTTTTTATTTGTTAAATCATGGTTTAAGTAGTTAGTTGATTTGTTATGACAAGGTGGGAAGAATATACATACAACATCTTGATTTTTTTTCTAATCAGGTTTAGATTGCTTGATGCAAAGAACCTAGAAAAGTTATTCTGATACGCTGGGAAGCTTGGGTGGTGAGGGTCCTTGTTCTGTTCTTAGGTGGAAATCAAAAGTAGACTCAAGCAGCAACGATCAGAAAAGTTTTGTTTGTAGAGAAGAGAAAGGAAAGGCCGAATGGGGTCATGCAGTGGGACCCAGAAACTGGTGGTTCGCTCTCAGGTTGGAAATCAGGTTTTAAAGCTTTTTTATTGCCCAAGGTTGGAGTTTTTGGCATGGATGGATGTCAAAGGAGAGATGTCTCTCTGGCATGAACAGATGTTTCTTAGAAAGGAGAAGTGTCTCCCTGGCAAATTATCACCTTTTGGGAACATGTGTACCTCCTGCAGTCCATCCTTCAAGACTCCCTCTGAATGACTGCCCTAACTGCTGTTAGGAACAGGGATGACAAAGTCTATTCAGTGATTGCTTCCAGATGAAAGGGGGCAATGAAGGGGCCTGTGGTGTCAGGGCTGACCACAAGAGGGGTTATCCAGGGTACCACAATAGTAGGTCATTTTCATTTCCATTAGGAGCATCTGTAGTTTGATGGATTCTAGGTGAGAGGAAACAAACATGACAAATAAGTTAAAAATACAAGACCCAAACACAAGTAAGAGAATAATGGTAACTATAGACCCCAGACAGGATAGGAATCATGTCTTCTAGATGATTGGGGATGTCAGGCACAGTGGAGATGTTACTTTATGCCTAGTGCCACAGAAAGTCCCTTAATTACTTCTGCCTTAAATGTAAGCCCATTGTCATGTTGAAGGCTTTTGGCAAGACTGAAGTGAGGGATTATTTTGTAATTAGGACTCAGACCACCTCTCTAGCACATTCTGTACTGTAAGGAAAGGCCACCCAATGAATGTATCTACTAATATTAACAGTAGTTTTGATTTTGGTCCCATGGCATAAGACTAAGTTTAATTGCCAGTCTTCTTCAGGGTAAGATCCCAGCCTCTGTGCTCCTGGCACCTGGAGTCTTTTATTTTTGGGATTTTTTTGGGCACATTTCACACCCTTATACAACTTGATGGGTGGTGTCCCTTAATTTAGTCCTCCCAAACATTTTGTTGTCCAAAACCAAAGTATTGTCTAAGCCCAAATGATAAAGTTGCTGAGCTGGTCTAATGGGAGATACTGTTGTAGTTAACATTCCCCTTTCCTTCTAGTTGGCTGCATAAGCATGCAAGATCAGGAAGGCATACTTTGAATCTGTATAGATGTTGACTCTCTGTTCTTTGTTTTAGGGCTTCAATTGGCTAATTCTGCCAATTGAGCACTTGTAGTAGGAGGAAGAGGACCTGATTTGAGGATGCCAAATTCTGTCACAATTGCAAACCCTGCATGTCTGACACCATTTTTGACAAAGTTGCTGCTGTCGGTGTATAATTCTAGATCTGGTTTTTTAAGGGCTGATCAGTCAAGTCAGGTTGGGCAGCATAATTCTTCAAAAGTACCTCCTCACATGAGTATTCAGGATTTCCCTCTGTCTTTGGTACAAGGGATATAAGGTTTAGGCTCTGACAGGATCTTAAAGTTATTTCTGTCCTTTCCAGCATTCTGGGTTTGGTATTTAAGTAGATGGCTATTGGATAGCCAAAGTCCTCCTTTTGAGTTTAAAATTCCCCCTAGGTTGTGTGGGGTGTAAAGTTGTCAGGGACCACTTTAGGACAAGTTTTTGAGCTTCAGGCACTAGAAGGCTAACTGTAGTGACTGCTTGAAGACATCCTGGCCATCCCTTGGCTAACTGATGTAATTCTTAAATAGCCCACTGGTTGGGGAGTGATGGCCTGGAGCTGAGTCACCACTTCCAGGGCCAGTCCTCCTTTTCCATAGACATATAATTGAAACTTGTCCTGTACCGGGAGTCTCAGGACCAGAGCTGTCATAAGGACCTTTTTTAACTGGTGGAATGTACTTTCTGACTCGTCATCCCATTCAATAAAAGGCTGGGGATTCTTCTGTGCCTCCTTAAGGATCTGATATAAGGGCCTGGCTAGGTCTGCATATCCTGGGATCCAAATTCTGAAGGCCCCAAAAGGCCTTCAGTTGTTTCAGAGTCTTAGGTAGAGGAAACATCAGGATTGGATAGATCCTATCTTTTCCTAAAGCCCTCATTTCTTTCTCCAGGACAAGACCTAAATATATAACCCTAGACTGACACAATTGGGCCTTTTCTTTAGAGATTTTATAACCTCTGTCTGCTAGGAAGTTTAGTAAGGATTTAGTGGCTCACAAAATGACAGGCTAAAGTTGATCCACAGAGCAGGAGGTCATCTACATATTGTAGCAGAGTAGCTTGTGGATATTGTCACTCTGCCAAGTCTTGGGTTAGAGCCAACCCAAAGAGATGTGGGTTGTCTCTGAATCCTTGGGGGAGGACAGTCTAGGTGACCTGTCCAGCCTTCCATTGGTGTCCTCAAAGACAAAGATAGGTTGACTTTCAGAGTATAAGGGAATGCAAAAGAAGGCATCCTTTAAGTCCAGGATAGAGTAGTAAGCAGTATCCAGGGGTACTTGGGCTAGAAGCATATAGGGATTTGGAACTATGGGGTGGAGAGGCACTTCATGGATCAGGCAGAGATCTTGGACTAGCCTCCATTTGGTGGGTTCCTTTCTGACACTGAGAATAGGAGTATTATATGGGCTGGAACATTCTATTAGTAGTCCGTGTCTCTTTAAGTCTTGATTATGGGAATTAGTCCCTCCTTAACTTCTGGTCTTAAGGGATATTATTTTTGATGGGGAAACCAAGAGGGGTCCTTGAGATGAATAAGGACTGGGACTGTCATTTGTGCCTGTCCCACAGTATGTCCATCTGTCCACAACTTGGGGTCTACTTTTTCCTCTATCAGGGGCAAGCAAAAGTACTCTCCTGGAAGTAAAAGGAGCTGCACCCCCAATTTAGATAGAAGGTCTTGCCCTAGCAGAGGAGTAGGGGTTTCTGGGACAATTAAAAAGGAGTGACAGAAGTGGCAATCTCCCCTGGAGTAGGCTAGAGGCTGAGTGAAATAACACTCTAGGGGCTGGCCTGATATGTCCCAAACAGTAATTTTCTTAGAGGATCTGGGTCTGGGAGAGAAAGAAATAGCTGAAATACTGGTCCAGTATTGATAAGGAGGCTGACCTTGTGCTTTTCAATAAGTATCACCTAGGAATCCTCTGGTTTTATGGTGGTCACAGAGGCCTGGATGGGAGACCCTGGGACCAGTCATTGGGTGGGAGGTTCTGGCCTCGGTTCCCTTAGCTCCCCAAGGTAGCTTCCTCTGGGGGCACTCCCTCTTAATATGGCCTTCCTGTCCACATTGAAAACATGTCCGTGGGTTGGGACTGTGCCCCGGGGGAGCCTCTTGAAATGTGCAATCAGCCTCCTGCCATTTATTCTTTCTCTTTTCCTTTTCCGGGTCCTTTTTTTTCTTTTTCTAAGTCCCTATTATAGTATATGGATGTGGCTACATGGACCAATTGGTCTAGATCTCTTCTCCCTTCAGCCACCAGGTTTTGAAGCTTTTGACAAATATGTGGGGCTGACTGTGTCAGAAATTTATCTTTTAGGACTCCTCCTGTGACTGTGGTACAATGTTGGTATGCTTTTGTAAAGCATCCTTATGTCTCTGGATTCGGATTTCTAAGGATCCTTAGTGTACAGCTGTGATTTGGGAGTAATTAAGGGGTTTTACCTTGGCCCTTCTTAGACCCTCAAGAATGCAGTTGGTGAAGTGGTTACAGGTTCATTCATCCTTGTCATTCTCAGGGTCCCACTTAGGATCATAGTCAGATCTCCTGTGGTAATTGGGAATTGGGATTCCCTTTTTGGTATCCAGTATCTCTGTCCTTCTTCCCTCTCCCCCTCCTCCTCCAAGGGCCAGTCTGAGATAGGCCCTTAGGGTCACATTTATCTAAGTGGTAATTGTTCCCAGATACTGCTGCCTGGTCTAGTACTTGCTGTTTCTCTAGAGAAGTCAGAGTCCCAGATAACAATATCATTACATCCTTTCAGCTCAGCTTAAAATTTTGGCCAACCTTCCTGAATGCCTGGATGTACTGATCCAGGTTTTTAGTTCAACTTTTTAAATTCTTCTTTATTTCCTAAGGTCACTTAATCTAAAAGGAATGTGATTCCTATCCCCTCCAGGAATTAACTGGAGAGGTTAGAGTCCTGTGGGACGATATTGGGTGCAAGGTAGTTGGGTTAGGGGGTAGAGGAGGAGCTGTGGGGGCATCAACCAATTTCCTTAGGTGGGATAGATCCCCTGTGGTTCTCCTGGAGATTTGATTTCTGTCACAGGAGAGACCTTCTTTGACAATGTTTGGGGTCCTTGGGCATCAGATGTTATTTTCAGGTTCTGGTTCCTCAAGGGTGTCTGAAAGCTTTTTGCAAAGTGTCACCATGGTCTAGGTATCTAGCCTGCATTTGTTCAGCCATTCTGGGTGGTCTCTTAGGAAAAAGAAAAGTTGAACACAAAGGACTTCAGTCCATTTCCTCTCCTTTCTACAGAACATACCTAACTGAAGAATGGTATTATAATTAATGCTCCCTCTTTCTGGCCATTTTGTCTGGTCTCCCAGAGGATACTGTGGCCAGGCCCAGGTGCAGTAAAACTTGAGTCACTTCCATTGAAGACTTTTTGAATCAAGATCTTGCCAATGTTTTAGTAAGCAGGCAAGGGGGGTAGGGATCCTTCAGAGTTTCTGGAAGCTTGATTCCCCATGTAAAAAAGGAAGCAAGGGAAAAT